AGAAGACGAAGTAAAGAGTAATTTCCTGCGGATACTCCAACCTATTCCCGATTCCCCGACCAGCCAGACCCCTGAGAGGAACATGCAGCAGGATGGCATGGTTTGACATTAAGGAAAAGCCGCACCATGGTTGCGGCCTTTCCTTCGTCCGTGGAGGCAATGCGAATCAAGCCAGACCAGGCTATTTAAGAATAAAATTCAAGATTTATAAGCATTTTAGGTCCATTTGATCGGCAGTCCGACAGTCCCCAGATGTCGAGACTACTTATTGGAAAAGTTGGGAAGGGTGGTGAGTCTCACGGAGCGGGATAGATAGAGTTCGCGAGGAACAATGGGCGAAAGATGAGGGTAATGCGGTTCAAATAAGCATGGCCCGCTACGCACATGTGGAAACTTTGATCAGCGACGTCCGATAGTGTTGGTTTCATGTCAATATGATATATTCTAGCTTGGCCGAGATGGGATCCAATGCCGTAGGAGGTGGTTAAAGTTTCCAGCCCAATAAGATTGACCTCTGCGGTAGGCGGGGACGGTGACCGACGACGGATCCCGAGCGTGGTGGAACCTTCCAAGATCGTCAGTCCCATCCCATCCGACAACACTGTACATCATTGTGGTCCAGTACAAATCCCTTTGAGCAACAACATTTACTTTCGGTAGTAGATCTGGGGTATATTGTTAGTATTTGCCAGTTGTCATGACCTGAGCGACAGAGGGTACTTACTCGTTTGAATTGGAAGTGTAGTTGCAAAATTCCCTACAATCCTGTAAGACTCTTTCTGACTGATTTGCTTGTTTCTTGGACATACCTTATCAAATGTGCTCTTGAACCCTCTTTCTCTCTTTGCACTGTAATCCCATTCCTTATCGACGATCCGAAAGGCAATGTCTTCGTACGGTGGACCGGCCATAAAGCGAATCAAACATGTATCCTCCTCCCCAGCCGCTGCAAAGGATTGTCCCCGCTTTCGTCCATGCTCTCGTTCGATGCGGTAGGTCGGTGCTTTTGTCTTGTCGATCAAATCAGGGTAGAAGATATTGAACTTGTACCCTTGCACAACTTTGGGTGGCGGGTTATCATGGTCATAATGAGTCTGATTGTATTTGTTCCACTCGTAACCCATTTGAACACGGTTAAAGTAACGTGGTTTGCGGGGCCGGTGTTTGCTGGCCCATCCTGGCTGGGAAGTTGTGCTTACAGCTTCCTCACCGGTAAATATCTCCTCGTTTTCACTGACTCCCTTGGCCAACTCTCGCTCATAGAGTGCCTTGGTTGCCTGCGAGAAGTCTTCGTTAGGAATCGAGGAGAATCGCGTCGAGGCTGTGGCGATTGGAGCGGTGGTTGCTTGGTTGATGGGAAGCACCGACGGCTTTTCTGCCTGCCGTTGACGGAGAGGAACATATCCCATCTTCAAAATCTTCTGTCGGTCGCGGGCCTACAAAAAGTCAGTCCCGGCAACGTTGGGCAGTAGTGAGTGTAGCCTACCACTTGATTAAGGAATGCATCTTCGTCGACTATCTCCAAGACCTTATCTTCCGGTCGGATCTGAAGCAATGGGTCAGGGTCGAGTTCACGATATTCTCCGCTATCGACCGCATCCGAGGCTGCTGGAATAATTGGCGCCAGAGGGGCCAGCTTCGCCTGCACAGACGCAGCTTCTTCAGACTGCTGTTTCCGCAAGCCTCGAACTCTCTCATCTATAACGGCTTGGTATACCTTCTTCAGCTTCGCCCGAGCCTTCCAAACAGTAAGGCTGCGCAAAAGCTCTTCCCAGTAGTCGGTATCGATAGGCTCGTTTGAGTCCAGCTTTTTCCTAACTTGTATTTCGAGTGTTTGTAGCTGTTCGTAAGACTTAGGGCTCAATAATCTGTTTATATCTGCGGCCACAGAGCTAAGCGCACGTCCTTCGGGGGCAGTGGTCTTCTGACGGTCTCGACAAATCACTTTCATGGTCTGCAATAAGCACAGTAAATTAGCCTGTAGCCCGAATAGCATGCTTAACAGAAGAACCATACCTTCCAGAAATCCCTATTTTGCGAGTTCTTCTCAAGACTCAAGAAAGTTTCGATATCCTTTTCCAAATCGAGTAGCTGGTCCTGGGATAGTCCCTCAAATACACCATCCGGATCTACTACATCGAGCTCCGAGTCCGCAATCTCATCGTCCAAGGGATTCCTCGTTGGATCAATCACCCGTAGTGTGACAGTGAGCCAGTCAATGGGCTTTGCTCGACCTTCCTTCACTCTGATCTCTGCCTTCTTTTTCGCCTGCTTTAGAACGAAAATGTCCTCTTGCGCCACCCATTCACGCACTTGCTCGTCTTCCTGAAGCTGATTGAGCCGGACCTGGTCCCTCATGTTCCGAGGTCGGTTTTGTGACGACCGTTCATCTCCGTCTCTTCTATCGCGATACCGATCCGTTTCGTCATATCTGCGCGGGGCTTTTTGGAAATGGCGAGAGGAGGGCGATCGAGACCGACTTCGCTTCGAACCCGCGCGATCGGGCATTCGATATGACATTTTGGCGCGTCCTCAATCTGTTTTCCGAAGGGAACTAAGATATCGATGAGCAACGCAAAATTAATTGTGAACTATCTCAAAGACGGATGCGAAGAGACTAATATCGTGAGGTCTGACATAGTTTCCTCCAAGCTTCTGGAGAAACGGGTGGTCGCGCGCCAAGAATGGGAGGTATAGCGACCGGCAAAGTTTCCTTAATGGCCACGTGCCTCGAGCGGCTCCATGTGATCCACCGCGGGAGGGAGCCTTGGAGGAGCTTCCCACACCTTTCCATCTAACTACTCTGGAACCACCCATCAAAACACACGCAAACGACACTCGAGAGATGTCTGCGAGGTGGGAGAAATTGCACATATCAAATCGTGCGCCTGCGCCACTTCTCCTTTATAGATATACCCTTTTCAGAGATGGATATGAGTTGTACCTGACCGATCTCACGTATATTTGGTCCGAGCGTCCTAACCGCCAGCATATTCTGGGAAGAGCTGTTGAAGATGATGCGACAATTGACCCCAGCCAAGACATAGATCAGTTCAATATTCTTTTGGAGAAACTAGGGGAGGCCCTACGCAATGATCCGGGAACCAGCACGGTGCTAAGGCGTGGACGGGAGAATGATACCCTACACCTGATCACCACAACAAGCCTACCGGCCCCACTTGAGCCTTTGAAATGGAACTTCTATATGGCGAGGGAGAAACAGCGCTTTTCAACTACTCAGCTGCTAATTCCGCTGATCAAGTCTGAGGCTTATTTGGAGTTGCGCCAGCGGGATCTAATCGAAGTGGTTAAGAAGAAAGATTGGCTGCTGTCAAAGCTATTCGATAAACTTGAAGCCGTCGGGTTTGATCTCAGCACTATCTTCCCTAGTATCCCCGGACTCAGGACCAGCCACAAAGGTTCAGCGCAATCACAAGCTGCCAAGTATATCATTGGAGCGAGGCCTTTTGATGAGGAATCCTGGCTCGATGAGAACAACGCGATAACAGCCGAGACTGGATTTGCGTCCTCCATCCTGGAAGAAACAGAAGATTCCAATATTGATGATAATCTTCTGCTACTCGAGGATCTAACGGCACCGTCAGATGGATGGTGGAGAAAAATGTCCACAGCTAACAATAACACCGAAGACGTAGATGCCAGGACTCCAGAAGACTCGACAAATATGGACACTACGGACGGAGGCTTGGAGACTGAAGATGATTTTGACGATGACGATGATGATGATGAGTTTGAGGTACATACCTTTCCCACATAATGCATTGCCGTTTATTCACAAGTACATTTCAGCGACAAGAGACCCCTCCGAGACTCAGACTTCAGCCAAACCACCAGACTCCCCCTTCGGGGCCAGATGAGGGAACAACGACAGAAAGCGAAGACGACCTTGAAGATCGAAATGGGGGACCAAGTACAGCGAGGCCTCGAGCACCACAACCCACTTCAAGAGGCCTTGCAACGATTGGAGGCAACAGAAAGCAACAAACGCAACCAGAATCCCCCCAGACATCACCAGCATCAGCAGATGTCGACGAATTGGTATCAACTCGCAAGGTCCCCTCCTCCCAAGCAGACAGCGACCAAACAGCCTCCGATACAGACGACGACGACAACGACAATCATCCCTCTCCATCACCCTCACCGCCGCCCTCAAACCGTCAAAGCAAGCCCCGCGGCATAGGAATGATAGGTGGCAAGAAAGCCGAAAAACAAGCCTCTCCACCATCATCACCGATACCCGAATCCTCCAGTAAACCCCAGACAAAACCCCGCGTGCTGGGCGTCATAGGCGGCAAGGGCAAAGCAAGACAAGCCTCCCCACCATCATCGCCGCCACCAGAAGCCGAATCATCGAGCAAACCACAGGCCAAGTCCCACGGTCTGGGGGTGATAGGCGGCCGAAAGAGAGAAAGCCAACCCACGTCGTCGCCAGCAGCTACCGCAACGCAGTCCTCAGGACCTCCCTCTCCTGCACCGGCTCTGGACGATCAACCCGCGGAGCGGGAGAAAGAGGAAACAGAAGAGGAGAAAGCGGACAGGAAGCGTGAAGAGCTGAAGAGACAGCTTGAAGCGAAGAGCAAGGCGCCTGTGAAGAAGAAGCGGAAGTTCTAAGCTCTAAGCTTCTTTTGTGCTCGAGCTATCTCTTACCAGATAGCGGATAGGCTGGTGCTTGTCTCTTCAGACAAGATTCTCATGGGAGGTTCTTGAACAGAATTCGAGTGCTTTCAGGGTGATGATGACTGTACATACCAATTCGATCGATCTTGGAGAGAAGGGGAGAGATCTGGTCGATATTACATATTGTGACCGGTATGATGGATATAAGGGGATGATTTTTGGACATATTGCCTGCTTGCTGTACATGTTGTTGGGGAGAAAGAGACAGAGAAGCGCTCGCTGTATGTGGGTTTTTCCTAATAGTTTTTTGAGTAGTTTCGATGGACAAAAAGGTGGAGGAAATTTCATTTTCGTATTGAAACAGCATCTAGTATGTCACATTGATTCCAAGTAGCACACATACACACAGACCACCACATCATCAACCACGCGCTATCAGACATACCAAGGGCGCCGCGCAACCTAGACTTCACCCGGAGACGCCAGAACCGACAACGATCGGGTATCTGCAAAAGTGCAAAATAGCAGGCTCAACAAACATAAAGAGAAGAAACAAAAAAAGAAAAAAGAAAAGAAAAAAAACCTAGTCCGGATCCCTTGCAATAAATACAAGGATAGGGAGAACCAAAGGGTGCGGGCCTTGACTTAGCCGCTAAGCCCACTCATGCCTCCAAGACTAGTTCGCGGACCACTTCGACGCGGTTGACCCTGTTCACTAGGCGTTATCAACCGCACCTTCTTGGGTGACATTGTGCTAGTGGAAGCCCCACTAGGCCCGCCACTTGTTGCGGTGGTAGCTGTTGTGGAAGCGCTCCCGGCTGATGCACCGACACCTAGCATGCCGCGAACTTTTTCGACGGCTCTGCTTTCTCCTTTCGTCCATGTGTCTCGTTTGATGAAGCCTACACCGGCTTTTCGGCCGGCAGTGTCACGTCTCTTAGATTCCTCTAGCAGGACTGAGCGGTTATGTTCGCGACGCGGGCCAGGGCCGCAATCATGCATGCATCCTGGAGTAGCGCAACCACCTTCGCTGATGGAGATATCGTTTAACCATGTGCTTATGCAAGCCAAGTGACCCCCGTGGCCGCAGCCTTGGCACCAGGTCCAGAGAGTAGATCCTTTGGGTCGAGGGTGCTGCGATGGATCGGAGAGAAGAGTGTCGAGACGCTGTAATTCACTCTGGGGAATGGGTTCGGTTTTCAAGGAAGAATGTGATGATGAAAGTGCGTGTGATGCGGCCTCGGAGGTCAGCTCTGGAGTTAAATGGGCGGATGCATTTGAGAGCTCTGCAACCCACTCAGGTGGCGGGTCAAGGCTCATGCAGATGGCGCATGGCTCCTGAGGAGTGTTACAGCGATGACAACGCGTATTATCGGTCTTTGGGTTTTCGTATGGACGTTTGCATGTGAAACAAAACACGTTCATGAATGTGTCCCCCTGGGCGTATTCGTAGACTGCTGGGTAAGACGGGACACATAAAAGTCGAAGTTCGGCCGCTTCGATGTACATTGACTGGCGCACCAACTGCTCGTTGTAGGCTCTGAATATGTATTCTGCCTCATCGCCGGGAAGAATCTTCTCGCAGTCCTTGAAAAGAATTCGTAGCTTCTGCAGTAAGTGTGCAGCGGACTGGATGTCCACGTGGTTCCCACTATGGTAGTGTTGAATTGCTTCTTTGAAAAGCATTTCAACGCTCCAGGGCTTATTCGTTGTCACGTCAGGGCTGATGGGGACAGTCACGCCAATCAAATCACTAGTTCCTCCAGCTGCTACCGAGTTGGTGTGCACTGGATTTTCATCATCTTGACCAGGGGCAACCAGGGGCCGACTCTCCTTCAAAAGAGGAGGGGGGCTAGATGGTCGCTCAAGGTGTACAGACTCTGGATCAGGAATACCTTCCACTGTCTCACACTCCTGGGTTCCTTTGTCATCTACAGAGGTAGCCCTTGGGACTAACTCCTTGACTTCAGCATAGCTGTTACTAGGCTCTGCAGTAGCCGCTTCCTGGTCAACATCTTCATCCTCCCGAGCCTCATACAGTCTCGCTGCTGAAGATAACGAGGTGGCCATTGATTTGGACGGATGGGAGCTCTCGGTTGAGGCTGAGAACATGGGGAAGCTCTCCGAGGACTCATGCCGGTGGAACCCAGGAGGTTTAATAGGCACCAAAGGAGATTCCAGGGAGAGAACCTTCTTGGGAAAGGTTCTATAGTCGCGAATAGCTGCTTTCTTGTCCTCCATTTTCTGGTCATATTCGTCTACGTCAGAAGTCCCCTTTGAAGCGCCCAGATGCCAATCTGCTCTGCCAGAGATGGCTCGAGGTGCAGATCTTTGGTCGTCCCCGTTTTCTTGAAGAACCAGGGCAGGTCCTGGCTCGGAGGGCAGACTGTCAGGTGGGATAGGGACATCTTCACTTGCATCAGACTGACGATGCTGTAATTGATGGACTGGCTGTGGAACAATATCTGACATCGATGACCAATCATTCGACGTCATGGTACCCTGATTAGAGCTGAGAACCGACGGTGGAAGAGGCTTTATTTCTGTGTTGTCATTCAAAGATGTCATATGCGACGTCGAGCTGTCCAAAGACCCAAGAGGGGAATCAGGCAATGGCTGCGCGAGAGGCGTCGTCATATTGGACGCGCTTTCTGAGTCTGTCAGCGGAAGCTTTAACGTTTCGTTTTCCACCACACCCTTGAACATCCGGGTTTTCAATTTGTCCTGTCTCCCATCTTCAACCACCCGTGGTTTCTCAGAAACAGGACCCTCCTTGGATGATTTTTTCTTCATGGTGCGAGGCCCCTTGTCTAAGTTGCGACGTTGCTCTCGAGCTCTGGTCTCGAGCTCTTGGACGACAGCAAATTTGATAATTCGCCAAGTCTGCGCTAGTTTGAGCAGAGAAACGTCCTCCGAGCACTGTGCATTGTGGTCTAGTGATTCGAGCATCGATGATAACTTATCCATGCGAACAGCATCAGCACCATCGAGCAGAGAAGAGTAATTGGATGCCAAGTATTGAAAGGTATCTCGATCCATTGTAGCGCCCGGAATGCTTCCAACTGCTCCAATTTGGCGTGCCTCGGGGGGTTTCATCTTCGACAAAACCTTCTCTAATGGAAGAATAGGAATGAGATCGCCCACACCAGGCGGGGTACTGCCTAAGGATTTAGACGGCCGGACACTACTCGACTTGCTATGGCGATGGCGGATAGAAGCAAACGAAGTCTCATCAAGAACGTCTTCTGCAGGGCTTTGACTCAAAACCTCACCACTGTTGTTCTCTTCATGTTGAGGGCCCACGAACTCAGTGGTGCTGAGACCTAGAGTACTACGTTGGGGACGTTTCTGGGCGAAGGCTAGGACTTCGCCGCTCGGACTCCAAGCCACCGAGCATGTCGGGCGTTGGTTGATAATCTGGGGAGCGTATCGAATATCAGTTTGAGTGAAGGCCCCAGCTTCACCTACTGTCCATAACAGGTCTTTGGAATGCCAGAGCAGGTCAGTAGCATGAGCATCATACCGATCGAATTCGCGGAACGGTATGTGTGGCCTGCGAAGATCCCAAAGATGAACTCGCGGATCCTCCTTGTCGTAAGATGTCACTACTTGGGATGACTGCCAATCACCAGAGCCCTCCGGCTCCCTAGCCCACGAAGGTGGACGCCATCGGACGTTGAGAACTGCCTGTGGGGTCCGAAACTGGAAAGTTGGCTTCTGCCGGCGTTCGGCAGAGGAAGAGAAATCCCAGACTTTCACTTGTCTATCTGTACCACCGCTGACGATGTGCTTCCCATCAGGATGCCAGTCTACCGAGAAGCACGGGCGGTCATGGGCGGTAATCCGCATTAACGGAGCACTTGACTTGCGGCAGTCCCACAGTTGTATCGCACCGCTGTCTGTTGCAGTTGCGAACATGACCCCGTCGGTTGGCGACCACCTGATATCCCGGACGGCATCACTGTTACCGTGGAACAGATCCAGGCTCCCACACACCAAGACGCCACGTTCCGCAGAAGCTGTCCGCAAGTCCCACATTCGGATGGAAGAATCCTGACTCCCCGATAGAAGCCATGACGCATGGTGCGGGTTGAAGGCTAACCGATGGACCTGGCGGCTGTGGCCCTGGAATCGGCAGCATTCCAAGCCAGTTCGGCGCAGATCATACACCACGATGCGGCCATTGGCCACCGCCGTGGCAATAATCTGGTCATATTCGCCATGTGACCACTTGACATCTCTCACAGTCAGCTGGTCTTTATGCCGGGCGGAGAGTCCACTCCCACCATGGTGGGTGGATGAATAACTGATGATAGCATTGCGAAGATTGAATTCCTCGGAAGAATGATCAGGCGAAACGCGAATGGTCTTGAGAATCTCCTTTCCACCAATGACTGCATGTGTCCGCTGCGGGGAGATATCTAGAGCGGCAATAGAAATGCCAGTCTTATGCGTAACAGTTTGGGATGCTCCCGGTCTAGTGGAAATGTTAACAGATCAATTTCTTTCATTTCTTATTTTTCCCTCCCAGTATTTTGTCTGCAAAGGTTCTCGCAAGAAGAAAGTGGTGCATGATCTAGCATAGAAAGCGCGTGAAAAGGCGGCGAATCGGATGAAACTGGAGGGGATCCAAATAAAGAAGCAAGGGACAAAGCGGGTAGGGGGGGTCAGCTAGTAGTAAGGAAAACAAAGTGGGTAGCTAATAAAGAGTAATTTATGTAGGTGTGCTAAGGGAGGGGAGAGAGGGAGGGGAAGGGGGAGGGGGGTGAAGGAGGAGCAAAGGTGAGCTATACAATGACTTGGACCTTGTTGAACGGGGACCAGCAGACAAATCTGCACGACTTCCCGCCGTGTGCGGGCTAGGAGGTCGAGACCCTGAGAAGAAGGGCTGGGCGAATCTTGCCAGAGCACTGGCCGCGCGGTTGGAATATTTGTGACTCTGTTGCACGGGAGCTGGTGGTGGGGGAGGCGGAGGTGCTGGCGAGGAGCTGCCTCGGGCGGGCAATCGTGAGAAGTCGGACATGATTGCCAGCCTGGAGGTGTGTCAAGAGATCACTCAGCCACAGAACACGTTAACCCGAATGAGATCGGGGCTCCATCCTGGTAAACGAATGGGTTCCGATGACAAGTACAAAACTGTGATAGTTACTGAAAGGAGAAGAAGGAGGAGGTGGTGGGGGGAAAAGAAAAAAAAGAAAAAAGGAAAGGGGGAGGCGGAGTTTGGGTGAGGTGAGGTGAGGATGTGGATGGGCTGAAGTGCGGTAGTGGTAGTTTGTGTTGTGATGAGGTTTGAGGTTGAACTGGTGACTTTCCAGCTCCAATTCCCTCACGGAAAAAGAACGAGTGGGGATGATTTCAGGCA